GAGACGCTGGCTTTTGCCCACGCGAAAGGGATCGTCTATCGTGGGGCTGCCCTGGGATGGCTCCAGAAGTTTTCCCCGGGAGAAGGCGCCAGCGCTCGGGAAGGGAAGACAAACACTGCCACCTAGCGACGATGGGCGGGAGGCAGCAGGCCCGCCAACGCGTTGGGACACAAGGCTTTTCTGTAGGGTGAGCCGAAGCCGCCCGGGGAATACAGGGTGACCCGAGAAAAGGGGCTGGACGGAGGGGCAGAAACAAACCACACAGTCCGACAAGGTCGCTGCTTTTCTGTCTGCACCGTGTTTAGGTATTTGCAAACTGAGACTTTTTTTAAGAAAGCGTTTTGATTCAATTGTGCTTTGCAGTTTGCAGACCAGAATCCTATTGGTGTTTACGTACATGCCGCATAACTGACAGGCGGCCAGCTCACAGGTAGGTTGGGCGGTACAGCACAAGACCAGGCGCGAGATCGAGATGCACCAACAGTACCTGGTCATGGTGGTTGTGGGTTTTTCGGGCTCTTTGGCTGTGTTCTGAAGGTGGTTCTTCCTGTCCTCTGAAGATGCCGGCCACAGAGACTCGAAACGTTAGGAAGAACAACCTTCAGAACACGGCCAAAGAGCCCGGAAAACCCACAACAACCATTAGATCCTGGCCGTGAAAGCCTTCGCGAATACAGTACCTGGTCAGTTAGCCACAATTAGCGGCCACAAGGTATTCAAATATTACATAATCACCCAACAGGATTCTGGCACAGTGCCCTTTACTTTTAAGTACATACGGCAGAATATTTATTACAGTAAATACTTTTCAAAGCCAAAAACACACGTTTGTATATTACAAGCTTGTGTGTCTGGCTTTAAAAACAAAACACCTTCCAGTGGGTGGGAGGGTAATTGTGCTAAAACAAAAGTGCAGGGCCCAGGAAATTTGGCTGCCTGAGGTGGGTAGCGTAACCAGCATCCCATATCCACCCGGGAAGCAGTGCATGGTGCCCACAGCCGGCTAAGTTGTTTCAGTTCGTCAAAGAACATCTGGGGACCCAAATTTGAGAACCACTGATTAGCACATTCATTCTTCTCTGTAAAGCATACAGATATTTCCTGATACACATTGCAACTTAACATGCTCCAGTGCAATCTTCCCATGCAAAAACACACTGGCCAAAATCCTATTGCTTAGCATAATAAATTGAGGTAAAACAGGCCCACTGAATCAATGGGGACTTGGTGAGTCAGTCCCATTGATAGTCCCATTGATTTAAGTGGGCCTAATCTAACTGACTTGTTAGCATAATAAATCACAGTTCAAGTAGGCCAATTGGAACCAATTAAACTAATGAAGGAATTGACTCACTAAATCCCCTTTGATTCAGTTGGGTCTAGTGCAATTTATTCTGTTAAGCAACAGGATTTTGGCCTTTCTTTAATAGAAGTTTATCCAATTATTTCTATGCCTTCAAACACATACAAGTTTTTCTTTTTTTTCATTTTGGCCCTCATGTGGTCCTTTTTCTTTTTTTAACGTATAGTCCAAAATGATGTAGTCTTCAGATAGTCTGAAAACCAGCTGTCTTCTCCATCTTCCCACTCCAAACTACTTTAGACTTTCTTTTCAGAAAGGAGGTGGCAAAGTTCAGACAGCATGCTGCTGCTGTGTGACTTTTAAGTGCTGACACGTTGCTTCATTTCACAACAGAAGTTAGAGGCAAGTTTCTAAGAAGTACCCCAGAATTGTCACATATAATTGGGCATCATGAATTATTCATCACATCTAGCTTGTCTTCATCTGATTCCTGAATAATGGCTTTGCTAATCCCCAATCAATTAATGTAAAATAAAATTTGATAATGAAAACTCCAGAGAGAAAAAGAAATTAAATATTCTCATTGACTGTGACAGAAATCTAAACAGTGGGATTTCTACCTACACGTATCAGTTAGTGTATATGTTTACGTTTATGTGTGCATATACAGGGATACACAGAGAGAGAGAGTTTAAGCACTCTGTGTTAATCTCCTGTGGGTTTTAATTATCTTTTAAGATGGGGCTGTTTTTCTGGATCCATAGGGTCCCTTCCAGTTCTGCAGTTCAAGATGATGATGATGATGATGATGATGAAAAGCATGATAAATATCCTACACAAATAAGTCACAAATATAGCCAACATTTCATTCGTGCAGTATGGCTAATCTTTCAATAGAGCTTGACTGTTTCATACATATTATTAGCATGCAATATCCCTTTGGAGTCATTTAGAATGGTATGTGCATTAGTTCTATATCTTGGGGTTCACAAACCATGTGGTTGGAGCATACAGTTATGTGGCGATCCCTTTGCCTGGACTGTGAGGATAATTTCACCACTCCTGCCTTCCACATTGGCAGATACTACAGGCAACTGCAGCAGTTCCCATGCCTTTAAGTTGGGCATCCGGTGTGGTAAGTGGTGAACAGCAAGCACTTATTCTTTTCTGAAGCTTGGAAAACCTGCCTTTTCGGACTACAACTCCCCGAACTGCCCACCTAGTATGGTCACTGGGAAGCAAAGGAATCCAGCAAATAAGTATTTCCTTAATAGAAGAATTCCAGAGAAGTCATCTGGGGTTTATTAGATAACTCTGTCTTGCCTTCATTGGAGTACTCGTCTAGCAATGATGAGGAACAAGGTTTAATAAACTGCTAAGTTCCTGGACCATCAAAGGTGCAGGATACCACATCTCCTGCAGAATGGAGCCCAGACTCAGATAAGGATCTGGGGATTCTCCCCAGGCCCCAAAAATGGGTAAGAATAAAAGTCTAGGAAAGAGATGTCGCCAAGGGAATAGGGGCTTCTTCATGAGTCTCCATGAAAGCAAGCCCCTGCTCACATGAGGACCCTAAAGCTTTGTGGGCCACATTTAAGCTTACGGGTTGGGCCCTCAAAGCATTACTTTACAAGCTGCAGGACAGCAACTTACATGGGAGCAGGACATAATCAGTCCCTAGTGGGCCACAGTGTCCAGAATAATAGGATAATAAAATAACAAGGGCATAATAAACAGCCTTGGGGCAAACTTCTTGCTTATTTCCCATTCAATGAGAAAGAGCGGGAGGGCAAAATAACAACCTCTGTTTCTTTACTAGAAGCACAGTCTACCTGCTTTGTTTCACTGTCCTCTCTCTCCCCCCGTAGTGAAAAACAGACTGGGGCTTCTCAGGTGACACTTGAGGCAGCAAGACTGTGGACATGTTATATGATTTTGATAGGGCTTCAGGACATAATGAATGCTTTCTCTAAAATTCCATGTTTCCAATTTAAAATATGTAAAATGGTATGCATGCCTGCATGTGTACACAATTCTTTCCAGATTCTATAGTTTTGTATTTTAAAAGGAAAAGAGGAATAGTCACATATATGTGCACCCTTTTCATGTCATATGCAACATCTTTTATTCATGTACCCATACAATTTTTTTTGGGGGGGGGGAGAAGGTGACCTTAACAGGCCTTACTATAAAACCATAACTTTTCCTTTGTGGTCAATATGATCCAGAGCTTGGAAAAGTTAATTCTTTGGACTACAGCTCCCAGAATGCCCTAGCCAGTGGTCAGTCTGATGTGATCACTGCCTTCGAACACCACCTAAATACTGCTTTGTGTATATAAGTTATCAAAATGACCGTAGACTTTATGCCAATAAAGGTTATGATGACTGACTGACCGTAGACGTTTTCCTCACAGAACCAGCATAAAATCAGAAATGCATAATCCACTAGCGCCTTCAGAAACCTCTTATTTAGGTAACCTGCCTCTTTTCTATCTTTTGCACACAGTCAGATGAAAATAAGTATACCTGCATCTAGGGCTACGTTTCCAGCTGGCTCCCTGGTGTAGCTGCATAAAGGATCTTCCTTAATCCTGGAGGCGCCACACGTTAAGAACCTCACTACTTAAGAGGAAGGCATGTGGACATGTTCGCAGGTTTTAACTAGCATTTAAATGCTTAAAGGCTACAATGAAATCTGCCAGCTTTGCTTGTTTCATAAAAGAAGTATTTCACACAGTGGAATAGCACAGCCAGGCTTTCCATGAATGTACTTCTCTGAAACTGTATTTCCAATTCATAAAGTCTTCTAATCATAGTTCCCATCACACAACAGAGATCTGTGTTTTCTCTCTTTTTTTCCTCCTCACTGCACCATTTACGCCAAGAATCTATATTCTCTCAGAAGACATGTTTCTGGGCTTGCTGATACAGTTATGAATCGTTTTATAGAGGAATTGTTCTGGACCAAAAAAACCAGGAACTGTTCTATGGGCAGATGAAATCTTATCTAACCAGCTATTGTCAGAACGGTAAAAGAGGAAGGCATGTGGACATGTTCGCAGGTTTTAACTAGCATTTAAATGCTTAAAGGCTACAATGAAATCTGCCAGCTTTGCTTGTTTCATAAAAGAAGTATTTCACACAGTGGAATAGCACAGCCAGGCTTTCCATGAATGTACTTCTCTGAAACTGTATTTCCAATTCATAAAGTCTTCTAATCATAGTTCCCATCACACAACAGAGATCTGTGTT